GCTCAGGGGGAAGTGCTGTAGTATAGACTGGCCGCAGTAAGGCCCCACAGCAAACTTGGAGATACTGGAGTGCTCCCGGGCATCAGTGATGATGATAGGGGCTGCCACCCCAGGAGATGGTTTTCTTTTATGGAGAAAATTCAGCACATCTTTCTTCTTGGGCATCATCTCAATGAGGGACATGGAGTTCTTTGTTGAAGTTACTGTCTCGGATGGCTCCAGCTCCAGCTCTTTCCTATTCATCAGGGAGGTGTGCACCAACTTCCACTCATCGATGCTCACGCCCCAGGATACCTGTGGTTTGAAACTCAGGCTCCACCTGGGGCGCTCAGCCGTGAGCATGTGTAGCACCAAGACTGCACACACCCAGTCTGGTGCCAAGCTCCTTCACACCACCCCCATGGCTCTGAACACAGGAGAGGAGGGGACACAGGTATTTCCATCTCCAAGCCAGTACCTCCGAGAGCCTTGCTAGGCCTAATCATTCTCCACATCTCAGCTTCCTCTCTAAATCTAGCTGCAGCCTGAGCTGGAGCCTCTGGGCCTCCACTCATAGGTCGCAGTGCTGGCCAAGCCCTCGTGTGCCCTCGTGTGCATTTCTATCTATTTCCTCCTTCACTTGCATCTCTCCTGTGTAGATAAACTCCCGCTTTCCCCCTTGTTCGGTGTTATCTTAGTGAGGGAACATGCTTTAGCCAGGGGCACAGCTGCCCAAGGCTTGGTCCCCAAGGGCTACAAAGTGCTCTCTCCTGGTAGTACAGAAGGCTGTACTGTAAGCCAAACTTCCCTTTAACGACACAAGTTACCTTTTAGGAGATGCATTTCGAAATTGGTAAAGATATTCAATTTCAGGCTCTAGGGTCAAGCGGCCCTGGGTTCAAGTTCTGGTAAATGACAACAGGAAGGACTGCCTTTGTGTAGGCTCTGAGACATGTTATGAGTGACAGCTCTGAACGGCATTGAAGTCGTAGTGTTGGAGGAGAATGTAGGGTTCTCTGTCTGTTTGCTCTTGTTTCTTCTGTTCACAATCACAGGTTAGGAAAGTCCACAGCTGCCTCTTCAGTTCTGCAGGTTGCTCTGAACAATGTTCCCCTGCGTTGGGTAACATGTTCTTGGCTTAGGAGCTCTCTATTCCATCCTTACCTCCCTCCTTCCCCTCTATCTCTACCTCTCTCTGTTTGAGACGGGGTTTCACTGTATAGCACTGGCTGACCCAGACCTTGTTATGTCGACCAGGCTGGCCTTGAATTCACAGAGATCTGCCTTTATTTCTCTGCTGATACTGAAGGCATGTGCCACCACAGCTGCCTTTGTCCTCTCTTTCTCTTTTGTGCATCTTTACATGCCTCTGTGCGTGCCCATGCTCCTGTGTGCCCATGCTCCTGTGTGCACCCATGTTCCTGTGTGCACCCACGCTCCTGTGTGCCCATGCTCCTGTGTGTGCTCATGCTCCTGTGTGTGCCCATGCTCCTGTGTGCCCATGCTCCTGTGTGTGCCCATGCTCCTGTGTGTATGTGTGCACCCATGCTCCTGTGTGCCCATGCTCCTGTGTGTGCCCATGCTCCTGTGTGCCCATGCTCCTGTGTGTCCATGCTCCTGTGTGCCCATGCTCCTGTGTGCCCATGCTCCTGTGTGTGCCCATGCTCCTGTGTGTGTGTGTGTACCCATGCTCCTGTGTGCCCATGCTCCTGTGTGCACCCATGCTCCTGTGTGCGCCCATGCTCCTGTGTGTGCCCATGCTCCTGTGTGCTCATGCTTCTGTGTGTGCCCACGCTCCTGTGTGCCCATGCTCCTGTGTGCCCATGCTCCTGTGTGTGCCCACGCTCCTGTGTGCCCATGCTTCTGTGTGCCCATGCTCCTGTGTGCGCCCATGCTCCTGTGTGCGCCCATGCTCCTGTGTGCACCCATGCTCCTGTGTGCCCATGCTCCTGTGTGTGCCCATGTTCCTGTGTGTGCCCATGCTCCTGTGTGTACCCATGCTCCTGTGTGTACCCATGATCCTGTGTGTGCCCATGCTCCTGTGTGCACCCATGCTCCTGTGTGCCCATACTCCTGTGTGTGCACCCATGCTCTTGTGTGTGCACCCATGCTCCTGTGTGTGCCCATGTTCCTGTGTGCCCATGCTGCTGTGTGTGCACCCATGCTCCTGTGTGTGCCCATGCTACTGTGTGCCCATGCTCCTGTGTGCCCATGCTGCTGTGTGTGCACCCATGCTCCTGTTTGTGCCCATGCTCCTGTGTGTGTGTGTGCACCCATGCTCCTGTGTGTGCCCATGCTCCTGTGTGTGTGTGTGCACCCATGCTCCTGTGTGTGTGTGCACCCATGCTCCTGTGTGTGCCCATGCTCCTGTGTGTGCCCATGCTCCTGTGTGTACCCATGCTCCTGCGTGTGCCCATGCTCCTGTGTGTACCCATGCTCCTGCGTGTGCCCATGCTCCTGCGTGTGCCCATGCTCCTGCGTGTGCCCATGCTCCTGTGTGCACCCATGCTCCTGTGTGTGCCCATGCTCCTGCGTGTGCCCATATTCCTGTGTGTGCCCATGCTCCTGTGTGTGCCCATGCTCCTGCGTGTGCCTTCCTGGTGAACAAAGTCTGTTGTCTGACTTCCCACCCTTTTTTTGAGACAGGGTCTCTCCCTGAACCTGGAGCTTACTGCTTCTGCTAGACTGGCAGGCCAGGGAACTCTAGGAATCTGCCTGTCTCCATTGCTGGGGTAAAGGACATGGGCCACCATGCTTTCCCCTCTTATGAGAATGTTGGACGTCTGGCTGAAGTTTCTCATACCTGCAGGGCAAGGACTAAGCTACTAATCTAGCCCCAGCTCTGGTTCCAGTAGAGGCACTCTGGAAAATTCTGTTTCCTTGTCCCCTTCAACTGTTTGAGGGCAGCTATATATCTTCCACCTTTAATTCCTGTAAAGGGTTCTTAGTTTCCTCCTATTCATGCACAGAAGTTAGCACACTGTGCACACGATTGCCTGCCATTTTCTTCTTCTATGAACTACACCCTCTAGGGGTTTCCCTGTAGTCCCGACTCATACACTTTCCCCTGTCATCTGGCACCACAGTGGGGCTGTGCCTTAGTTGATTGACTGTTCCTCCCTGCAGGTGCAGACTCCGTGGTCTCCAGACTTTGCTTGCTGCAGACAGTTCTGCTGTGATCAGCATACACATATGTTTTTATTTGTTTGTTGATAAAGGGATCTTAGGGTGAACTTTAGATGCTAAAACAACAACAAAAGGGTGAGATGTTGGTAATTTTGTTTAATTTCCTCTTAGCAGTTTTCTTCTGCATGCCTAGATTTGAGGTGGGACAATTCCCATAAAGTTGCCCTAAGAGAGACGGGAAAGTCTCAGATATTGAAAAATCCATCACCTAAAGAAACCCAGTATCTTTGCCCTGGCCATGAAGGTTATTTAGCATGTAGTAGATATATGGAGCCCATGGCCACATGTCTGAGTAAGCGGTACACATACCCCCCAGTTCTAGAAGCAACACGGAAGGGTAGAATGTCAAAGGTTATTGGATGTCCTTGTGGGGCTCTGGGGCTGTTGAGCTGAAGCTGAGGCTGGACTCTTGACACAGGGTTGTAGATGCCACTGAGGTTGAAAGGAGGAGGCATCAGGCAGACCCTGTCCCCAGTGATTTAGTGTCGGATAGATCTGTGGCAGTTGTACCTAGGTGTCTTTCAATGATAGAAGAAATTGAAAGGCTGGAGTGAGAAACCCACGAAGTTCTTCGCTGAGGTCATACTGGGGACAGTTTCAGAATGGGGCCCATGAGAGAATCCCACTGTCACCCAGGCCACCAAATCCTGTGGGAGAGAAAAAGGCTTTAGTGAACAAGGAGGTACTGTGGACCCTGGAAGGACTGGGCCATTTTTTAAAATTTATTTTTATTAGTTAATTATTTCCAGCCTGTCACAGTTTCCCCTCCCTCCCTCTCTCCTCTCAGTCCCTTCCCCCAACCTCCCCTTTTCCCCACCCCCAATCCATTCCTCCTCCTTTCTCTTCAGAAAAGGGCAGGCCTCCCATGGATATCTTATCAGCCAGCCATGGCATATCAAGTTGCAGTAACACTAGGCACCTCTTCCCCTATTGAGGCTGGATGAGGCAACCCAGTAGGAGGGAAAGGTCCCAAAAGCAGGTAACAGAGTCAGAGACAGCCCTTGCCCCCACTGTTAGGAATCCCATAAGAAGACCAAGCTACACATACGTGCATAGGGCCTAGGTCAGTTCCATGCAGGCTCTCTGGTTGGCTGTTCAGTCTCTGTGAGCCCCTATGAGCCCAGGTTGGTTGATTCTATGGTTTTTCTCGTGGTAGGATTGGGTCATTTTAAGATGTGTCTACAAACTTCCCCCAGATGGCCTCAGACCCATTGAAAAGAGGTTGGCTCATCGTTCATGACCTCCGAATTTGCCCTCCATGAAAGCCACACTTCTAGGACCAGGGACAGGTGAGAGGGTAGTGACAAGGACAGAGGAGGAAGGGAAGGACTAATCCAATACCTGGTCTTCAATGCTCTCATTGTTCTGGAGGAAATCCTCAAAGACCACGGGGGGATCCCAGGGGTGGTTCTGGTTGTAAATGCTGGTGCTGCACCGCTCAGACTCCCAATATTTGGTCACTGCCAGGGAGTACCTGAAGATTGAGAAGCCAGGTGGCTCTGAGCACGGGGGCTGCCTCTGAGATCCAGCTAGGGCTCAGAACATCCCCAGGGCCTCAGATGAGGAAGTTAGTGCTTCCTCCCAATGTGCAGCCATCTCCTGGGACTTTGTAAGAGTGCCCAAAGCCATCCAAGGGTCAAGAGCCCCACGAGCACCTTTCTTCCCTCCCCAAGTGCATGCGGATCACACTCAGACTCACACATGGGCTCGTGGGCTCAGAGCCTCGAGAACGGAAGCACAGAGATGCATTCACTGTCAGAGAGGAGCCCCTCCCCTCCTCACCTGGCCCAGGTGAAAGCCAAGTCCTCCTGGGATTCAGGGGTCAGCTTCTGCTTAGATGTGGAGTAGATGTGTAAGCGGTAGCTGCGCCGGTGTCCCCAGATGTCCCTTTGGGGGCTGCTAAAGAGCAGGAATGGAGGCAGAGTCTGTCCGAAGGGGAAGGTGGCCTGGCGCTCCTGGGAATACTGTGTCTTCTCCATTGTGTCCTGGACCAGGTGGTGTCTTAGGCTGCCAGGGTTGGTGGTGTTCTGCCTGGTCTGCAGTGTGTGGAAGCTGTTGTTGGTGCCTGGAACCATGAGGGGAGGGAGAGATTGAGAACCAACTTCGATTAGAAGCTTTTTCCTTCCACCCTGGATCTCCAGCATAGGTCACATCCACAGCCAGCTGCCAGCAAGAAGCTGTGCTGGAGCAGAGGCTGGGCTAGCAGTGTGAGCAGCGAAACTAAGTGAACCCCAAACCAGAGGAGCTGGAGGACACAGTTCAGGGGTCAGCTCTGGCAGTTGTGGTAGTTTCAGTGTGGCCCAGGCAGTTTTCAGGAGAGCTGTGACACAGCCTTTTTGCCACCGTTTTAACCCTGGAGAAGGGATAGCCTGTGTTACTGAAGGCCTGAGACTGGCAATAGATATATTCTGGGCCATAAAGACAAATGGGATTCATGAGTGACAGAACATAGTGGCCTTGTTCTGTCAAGTGTCACAGCCATGACGCTCCTCTGTGGTGACATTATATATCCAGGGAACACACTAAGCACCCCTGATGGCACTACAGACCCTCTGGGAGAGCTAGGCAGTGGCATTTCATCCCCCCCCCACTTCTTCCTCACTAGGGTACCACTCACAGCCACTATTTCTCAGATATGCGTAATACTTTTTTTGCGGGGGGAGGAGGGAGGAAGCTCAATGAATACTTCTGATTTAACATCAGAAAGTCTCAAGCCCTATCAATCTTTTGTGGAGTAAAGTTATTGGTAGGAAGCAGCTGAGAGACAGGGAGGGTCTGATTTCAAGTCCTACCTGCCACATCCAGGTCAACACGGTAATGCACAAGGTGGGTGTGACTGTTGCCAAGTTGGTGAGTCATCAGGTGAATTTCGCCCAACCCCCCAGGGGTGTAGATGGTGGTGTGGGTAGAGCCTATGGCATGCATCTTGGCTGAGAGCATGCCATTAGTATAGAAAACAAAGTCCCAGATGTAATCAAAATTGTAGAGCGCTGAGGTTGCCCGCAGAACCAGCTTGTGTCCCATGACATCCGAAAAGAAGTTGATTTTGCCTGGAAAGTCAGTGTTAAAGATGGGCCTAACAGGCACCCCCATGGGGATCTCAAAGATGCAGAGGGCTCGTGGATAACGGACAGGCCCATCAGTATCATAGTAGTGGATAACATCTAGGAAGGTGGCTGTTTCTGGACAGTTGATGCCAGGGGCTAACTCATGAGTCACACTGCCCATGCCCCAGCCTAGATCCATGGTCTTGGTCAGCTCCCCTGCAGGTGTATTTTCTCTATGCACAGCCACAGCTGTCTGCACGCTGATCTCGTAGGCTATAGGCTCATCCCTGAAGTGCACATTTAATATCCGCAGCCCAGAAGAGGGTCTAAGCTGGAAGGAGAAGCTCCAGCCTTTGTAGATCACCGTGTTGCCCTCTAGTCTGTATCTGGAACCATTGCCAGACTCACTAAGGGGCATTGGGAATTCCCCACCAGGCTTGTTGAAGATTTGTAGTTGCTCTGTGTTCTTGGGCAGTGGGTCCTTGAGGACCACTGTATCTACTTCTCCATCTGCATACTTCTGAGCCAGTTCTTCTGGGCTGCTGTAGAACTTGTCATTATACCAGACCTGCTCTACTCTCCAGTCCTGGACATTCGTGCTCCCATGATCCACAAGGATCTCCAACCCTGTGGGTTGCAGGAGGTCGTCTTTCACAATGCGCTGCAAGAGAAACCAGGTGGCCCGATGTCTAGACTCCACACTGTGGGGGGCCACGTGGGTGAAGGTGAGGCACTGGCCATTGCAGTCCTCTAGTGAGAAGCCGGTGGTGTCAACAAAAAACTTCTGTAAGGGTGTGGTGGCCTCCTTGATTTTGTGGTAGAGAAGGCTTTGCTCTGCTTTGGACATGGGTCTGGATGCCCAGGATCGATGTTTTGCTGGCCTGGGGGACAGTTCTCTCATATAGATGGGCTGTGGCAGGGGCCCCACAGCAAACTCGGTGACATTGGGGTGCTCCTGGGCACTAAAGAAGATGACCACATGGGCCTCCCGTACTGGAAGTCTTGTTCCTTTATCCAGAAACTCTAGGACATCCTTCTTCTTGGGCAGCAGCATCTCAATGAGGAACACAGAGTTCTTGTCTAAAGCCTGTGTGCCGGATGGCTGCAGCTCCAGCTCCGGCCTGCTCATCAGGAAGCTGTGCACAGCTTCTATCTCCTGGGCGCTCAGGTCTGCAAACACCTGGGCCTTGCTATTCAGCATCCAGTTGGGGTACTCTGCCATGGCCATCGGTAGAACCAAGATGATGGCCATGCAGCCCAGTGCTAAACTCCTTGGTGCCAGCCCCATGGCTCTGGAACTCAGCAGAAGAAAGCAGAGAACTTAGGTATTTCTCTCCCCAAGCCAGCACTCAGAGCACTCTGTCTCTAAGCCCGTTGCCCCTGACTGTGCTTCCTCCCTTACCCAGCTGAAGCCAGAGTTGGAGTCTCTGGGTCCTCACCCACAGTTCACAGCGCTGTCCAGACCCCTGTGTGCATCCACCTGTTTCCTCCCTCTTCTGGAAATCTCTTATATTCTTTCTTATCTGGATATCTCCCATTGCTTCCCCCTTTCTGGGTGTTATAACAGTGGGGAACGTTCTTCAGCAGGGTGTACCATGAGTCACAGCAGCCCAAGGCTTGGTCCTCAAGGGCTGCTAATGGCCTGTGTTCTGGTGGGCCAGAGGGCTGTAGTCATAGCAAAATTCCCTTTCTGATTCAACAGATGATCATTTAGGGGGTTGCATGCTGAGATTTAGGTTAAATGTTCAAAGTGCAGGAAGGGAGCATGATACAAGCGAGAAAGGTAGATGGAATGGAGTGATAATAATGTTTGAAAAAAGCCACAGGGAAACATTTTATAAGCTTACTGAAAACCACACTACACTACACAGTGACACAGACACAGACACAGACACAGACACACACACACACACACACACACACACACACACACACACACACACACACTTAAATGGAATATACCACACCAGGTGATATTGATCCCTCCAAGGAGCTGTTGACTAACAACAGCCACAGTGCCAGGCATGAGAGACTTCCCCTTGAGTTGTTCTTCAGGAGGATGTCCAAGAGACTCCAAGAGACTCCCAGAACAGTGGAGGCTATTGCCATTGCCATTGGCTGCTTCTCACAACTTGAAGGCAAGACTCAATTGCTGAAAACACCACACCCTTCAGATACAAGACTTGAAGAAATCCAACTGCATCTGGCCTGGAAGCTTCCTACTTAAAGACCAGGTCTTACTATTTCACAAGGTCTGTTCAAGCTCCCAAGGGAGAAAAACTATCAATATTCCTACTCAACTGTAAAGCTCACAAACAAACAATGAATGGCCCGGCAAGACACCCTGTATGGTGCAACAGTAGCATCTATCCCGGGGTGATGGACAGTCATCTAAATGTATTTAAGACCCACTCAATAGGTGGGAATTCATACCTGATGACTGTAAATGTAGTCAATTCCCCATGGCTAGAGAGGCAGGGTTGCTTGTGATACTGACAGACTTCAGCCCCTGCTGCCCTATCCTTTCCTGTACCTGCTAACAAGGCTTCCTGCCTCATCCTACTGAATACAGAGTTCCTGGAAAACTTTGGCTTTGCATGGGAGCAGACTGCTGTCACTGGCATCAGGCCTTGTCTCTGCAGATCCTAACCTGACTGGGATATTCCTGGGCCCCAGATGAAAGTCCCTTTCTGAAGCTTTGCACCCGTCACTGATGCTGGAAGACTCCATCTGACCTTTGCTTTCCACTCAAGGCTCCCTCTGGGTCTCTAGCAGGATTTCTCACTCATGAAGACAGAATGAGGTCAAGGCTTAACTCATGGCCTGAGAGTGGGTGGAAGGAGTCTGAGTGGTATTTTCTATAATAGGTAGTTAATTGCTTTTGGTTCTCCAGATTAGAAACCTTTAGGAGAGAAAGCTGGTTATAGAGGCACAGTGAGGAGCTCAGGGGCCTGTGTTACAGGGGTCCAGGGTACAGCCAGAAGTTCTGATGAGGATGAGGACTTAGGTGCATTTTGATTAAAAAAAATTTTTTTTCAAGACAGGGTTTCTCTATGTAGCTCTGGCTGTCCTGAAATTTGCTCTGTAGACCAGGCTGGCCTTGAACTCAGAGATATGCCTGGGTCTGCCTCCCTAGCGCTGGGATTAAAGTCAGGTGCTACCATACTCAGCTTTAAAGTTTAACTGTAGAAGAGGAATTAGGCAAAAGAAAGCATAGGCACTCCTCAGGGACATGATGAGCAGCTGGGCACAGAACCCAAGCATTGTTTGGAATTGTGTTTTCTTAGGTCACATGTCCCACTCACAAGTGTGAGTGGCACAACCCTGAGGCTTGAACTTCCTGTTGGCTTCTACCCCAAAGACAGACTTTCCCATTTGTCTCTTTATGTCTAGTACATATCCTGTTCCTCTGGTCAAAGTTGGCTTGAACCATCTCCCACCAAGGGACTCTCAGTCTTGGGCCTGGGCTTAACTGCACTCAGGCCCACTCACTGTCCTTCAGCAATTTGTCCTTCAGTCTGTAGACACTACAGTGTAGAGGATGCTGTGAATATTTCCATACACTGTGTGCAACCTCTTAGCTCTGGGCTGTTTTCCTTCTCTTTCTCTCTCTCTCCCTCCCTCCCTCTCTCTCTCTCTCCCTCCCTCCCTCTCTATGTGTGTATGTTGTCTTGTGTGTCTATGCATTGGCGTGGAGAACAGAGGCTGGCATCATATCTCCTCACTCATGCTCCACAACAGTATTTGAGGCAGGATCTCTCACTTAACCTGGAACTCACTGATTCTGGAAGGACTTTGGTGTCAAGAAGCCTCCAGGATCTGCCTGTCTTTGTCCTTTAATTCCAGTTCTGGGTTGCTGTCCTGCTACACTGTGTTCCATTTTGCATGTGTGTCAGGGATCTGGACTCAGGTCTTCACGCCTGGTGGAAGCACTTTATTGACTGAGCCTCTTTTCCACCTCCATCCCTTCAAGGCCATGTTCCTAAGGAGAGGAAAATTGCTTCCTTGTCTTTCAGCTTTTTGAGGCACCTCACCACCTTCTGCTTTCCGTTCCTATAACCCGGATCTCTAGTATCCTCCCATTCTTTCCCCAAAATTAGCATATGATGCTTGTTATTCCCCACAGGTTTCTTCTCCCACTTAATATACCCTGCAGGGTTTTCCTGTCAGTCTTCAGACTGTCATCACTCATGACAGTTTTTTTCTATCACCTGGCACCAGGGTACAGCTGTGCCCTAATGTATTGATCTGTTCTCCTATACAGATGGAAAGTCTATTGTTACCAGACTTACTGGTACAGACAGCACCACAGCGACTCAGCACACACAATACCCCCCCCCCCCCCATGTGTTTAAAGAGAGATCTTTAGGGATAAGCCTTAAATGCTAGAACATGACCAGGTAAAGGTATTGGTGATTTTGCTAGATTTCTCATAGTAGCCTCCGTCTGCATGCCCATCATTGAGGTGGGACAGTTTCCCTGCATGAAAGGGCTGAAAGCCTCAGACATGAAACACTCATCTGATAGAGAAGTCTGGTATCTTGTGGGCTTCCTTTGCTCAGGTCATAAAGGTCTTTTGGGGTATGATAGTGCAATAGGAGTGGGTTCCCTGGCCACACATCTGTGCATGTGAGCTCTCCACAGCTCTAAAGACTATACAATGGTGGACACTGTCCTTATGGGGACTTGGGGTTTTTAGGTAGGAGCTGGGGATAGACTCTTCCCACGGAATTATGTGTTCCATTGTAGCTGAAAGGAGGAAGCATCAGGCAGACCTGGTGTCCAGGGACCCAGTGTCTGATGTGGTTGTGACCTTTGTACATGGGCCACATGATTACAGTGTCTCTGAATGCCACAGGTGGGTCCTCGAGGAAGAAGTTTGAATCAGAAGTCTATGGAACTCCCTGGTGTGACCTTTTTTGGGAATCTTCAGAATGGGTTATGTAAGAAGCCCACTATCAACAATGCCACCAAATACTATGGGAGAGACACAGAATTCAGTGGGCAGAGCGGTGTTGAGTACCAACCATTTGAGGGAATTCTGTCTTGGGACTTATTCAGATGTGCCTATGGACTCCCTGACATGCCCTCTGTCCCATTTGGAAGAGTAGGCCCATGTGTCATCACTGTGGAACTTGCTCTCCACTCAGCAAGCTACTGTGGTGATATATTGTGTACCCAAATAGAGCTTGTCTGGGGATCAGAGGACAAAGTCAGCCACTAAATTAGACATAGAGGTCAGGCAGTGGTAGCACACACTTTTAATCCTATCACTCGGAGGCCACACCGGGCTACATGAGAGAAACAGAACCAGGCAGTGGTGACACACACCTTTAATCCCAGGAAGTAATAAAGTATGACACAGAAAGGTATATAAGGCATGAGGAGACAGGAACTCACTCTCTTTAGACTGAGGATTTCATAGAGGTAAGAACTAATGGCTGGCTTGTTCTGCTTCTCTGATCTTTCAGCTTTCACCATGATATCTGGCTCTGGGTTTTTTATTAAAAGACCATCTAAGATTCAAACAGCATCTGGCACCCAATATGGGAACAGGGAGAGATCCATGTAAAGACTAAAAAGAAGGCCAGAGGTGGCAAGGGGGGTGGTCAGAGTTGGTAGCTCATCTTCACCATGCTCACAGTTTTGAGTGAACTCATTAAAAACTCTGGGAGGATCCAAGAGGTTGTTTAAGTTTCAACTGCTGCTATACAGGTCAAATTCCCAATACTTGGTCAATGCCAGGGCTACCTCCAGGCTGAGAACCAGTTAGGTAGCTCTGGGCAAATGCATGCACCCTGATTCTCTGAGTACTTAAGTACACCCACCAAGACACACAGACACAGACCTCTAGGACAGAAGCATATGACACATGCAGTCACTGGTGTAGGTCCTCTCCTACTTCTTGGCCTCCACAGGTCTCCTCACCTGGCGCATGTGACAACTGGTTTTTCCCTCAGCATAGAGTAGATCTGCTGGCCATAGTTGCTCTGTGTTCCCAGAGGTTCTTTTTAGGACTCTGTAGACTGGTTATTAAGCGAAGTCTGACTGAAGTGGGGGGCAGCTGTGTGTTCTGGGGAGTACTTTCTATTTGGGTGTTGAGTTAACCAGGTGGTGTTTCATGCTTCCAGGCTTAGTGATGTTTCCCCCTGCTGCTCTGTGGTGTCTGGAAGCTCTTCTCAGTGCCTTGAGGCATTAGGGGAGAAGAAAGGTGGGAATCAAGTGTTGGTACCGAAATGTCCTCTTTCTGCCTTGGCATCTCCAACCTAGACCACATCCTTAACCTGT